CGCACAGCCGCAGCGCGACGAAACGCTGCACCTTCCCCCCTGCCCTCCGGCCCCACTTGGACCCCAGGTAGGGCTACGCATGCCAGCTCGCAGCGGGATCAGCTGCTGGGGAGGCGCCGAGTGGTGGGGGGCGCAGGGGGTGCGAGCAGCCCCCGGGGTGGGAAGCGCTTGACCGCACAGGTCCGGTTGGGAGACTGACTCATCGCAAAGATGACACCAGCGATATTTTAATTACTGAGAGCCCTGGGGGCTTCCCAGCCCCCGGGCTGGGGGCACGCTGGATTATGCGCTGCCAGGAGCGCGGAGAGCAGGAGGCAGGGCAGAGGCAACAAGCAAAGCGGATCCTAGGGGCGGAAAGCCGGGCCCATCTCGGTTTGGTCAAATACCCGCTCTGCAGCAGCTGCCTCCCAGCGCTGCGAAGGGCAGCGTTGCGCTGGAGAGGGCTGGAGCTGGACCACTGACGAGCAACCTGCCCGCTCACCAGTGTCATGAGTGGTGTCAGGTCTCAGCACAGCTGTAAGAAACCAGGACCCCCGGGATGGCTCCTGGAGGCTGACAGAGGTTGCACAGGGTAGAAACTGGCCTGGGTTATAAGTGAGAAGATGAAAGGATGGGTCAGGCGGTAGGAGGATCTGGGGATGGGGCAGGAGGCCTCCACAATGCAAACGGCTTTGGCAACTAGGGAAACGCAGGGACTCTTTCTTTTCCTTTCTCGCCCCCTTAATTTCCGGTTTGCCCCAACAGGAATTGGGAACTGCAGCCAGACGTTCTTGCTCCCGGCTCTGGATTCATCTCGCCCTCCGCTCAGGTTGTCGGACGCCCTTTAGAAAGCGGCGGCCCCGGGGGTGCCTGCGTCTCTGCTCTGATGCAAACTCAGTGGCAAGTGGTGCCCCGGCTGAGGCTCTTCCAGCAGGTCCTGGCTGCCCATCTCCTCCTTCAGCCACCCCCTGAAAACACCCCATTTCCCCATCCAGCTGCCCTGTTAAAATACCCGCTTGGACCTACGCGGGGACAGGTGAAAGCCGAGACACGACAACCTGCTCTGCTCCCCGCTCAGACAACCTGCCGGTGCTCAGACACAAAAGCAACTTGTAACCGGACAAACGGACACCGTCACTGACAGGGAGCCCCCATCAGACAGATGGACACCAGCTGGCAGGAGAGATGGACCAACAGAGCGGCTATATCACCCGGGCTGGTTTTGATATTGCTTTCTTTGCCAGCTTACTCCATCGGAGGATGCAGCTCGGAAAGGTGACCCGATTTAACAGGACCTCATGCTTTGCCGGGGCTGCTGACAAAATAAGAGCCCGCGGGCAGCATGCGGGTGCCAGAGCCCCAATGACCCCCCTCGCTCCCTCCCGCCCCATGATCCGAATCACAGCTACGACGGGAGCAGCCCGTGGGCAGCCGGGTAGGATCGGGTCCTATCTCCCATCCCAAGGGCCGAGCCCTTCCCTGCCCCGTCTCTCACCTCCTCCGTTCTTCTGGCACAGGTAGGGGAACCGCCAGACGTTGCCCAGCCCCACGGAGTAGCCGATCTGCGCGAGGATGTACTGCAGCTTGCTGTTCCACGCCGGCCGGTTCTCCGCCTCCAGCTCGTCCTCCACGTCCTTCTGCTTGTCCCAGGTCTCGCCTGTCATGTTGAGGACGCTGCGTTTGTAGTCCACGGGCTCCTCGTGGGCCAGCAGGTCGGCCACCGACTCGGTGACATGCTCGCTGCTGTGCTCCCGCTGCGTCACCTTGCTGTTCTTCGGCATCGGGATCGCTCCGCGCAGCCCCAGGGGGCCGGGAGGGGAGGCAGGAAGAAGACAAGTGTCCCAAAGGGAACGGCACCAGCGGTAACTACAGCTCAGGCCTCACCTCCTCTTCATCAGCGGGACCTGCAAAAGGAAGGAGCCAAGGGAGGCTGAGCGATTTTTACCTCGCCCCAAGGTGCAGCAAGGCGTCCTGGTGCTGGTGGAGCCAGCAGAGCCGGGGTAAAAACAGTCTCCAACATCCCTGTGCCTTTGGGGACCTTATTCTGCTCTGGGAAGATGCTAAGTGCCGAGGGGGAGCAAAGCCACTGGTTCATCAGCCGTCAAGCAGAGCCTCCCCTGACCCACAGGGACCCACAGCAGGGACCTTCCTCCGGCTCAGGGCAATCTGCCTCCCCGAGCCCGAGACTGAGCCCAGCCCTAGGACAGCTTGCAAGCCAAGAGCCGGCTCGGTGTTGCACTCAGGTGACAGTGACAAATGCCAGCGCTCGCTTGCCTTCCCTGGATGTTATCAGGAATGACTTAAAAGCCTGGAAGCCTGTAGCTAAATCTTCCCAGGCAGTTTTACAGCAGATAACGTCTGCAAAACAGCCACGGGCGATGCAAAGCCATCAATTGTTCCAGCCCCTCCACCTCCATCACAGGCTGGCCTTGGCTGGGAAAAGCCGTGCCGGTCCTGCGGTGGCCTGGGAGTTACACCAGTTTGCCCCCACTGCGGGGGCTGCCTGCCTTGTTTGCAAGACTGATGGCACCATTTCCTTTCAAAACCCTTTTTCATTAAAACTGCAATGAGAAAGGCCTTTCCAGCAGCAGAGCAATCGCTCCGCGGTTTGGTTACCGCACCACTGGGATCTCGGTCTGTTTGGCTAAGAAAAGCAGGGCTCAAGGTGGGGGATGCAGGTGCACGAGCAAACAGACCCACCTGGGAGCAGTGCTGGGTGTCCGCGGGGCTGGGACGGGCACAAGCAGATTAATTTTTGGACTGGCAGAAGGGAGCGTCGATTTGCTGCCCGCGTGGTGACAAGCAGGAGGGTGCAACAGGGGAGGCATGTTCGTGTGGCGGCAGAGGGCCGCGAGCTGGCTCGCGTCCGGGCACGTTTGCAAACGTGCAGCTGCATGTTCGCACCTGGGACTCCACGCACGTGCAGTGGCCATGCTGATGTCACAGCTGCCTGGCTTGAGGTCTCCTCCGGCCATGCTAGTGGCCCTGAGAGGAAGCGTTTCGGAGGATGCCTGTGACCCTGCAGCGCTCTGACCAGTCATCCAGGCTGGAAAGCTGTAAGGCAGCAGGGAAATCTGCTCCACTGGGTCTGGCCTCCCTGACCCAGCAACAGAAAGCACCATCCCCTGCCCTCTTTGCCAAGCTGGGGGTCAGACCCGAAGTTCCTGCCCCAGCTGGGACCGTGGAGGTACGGCGGTTAGAGAGAAGATACAGGAAACCCACGGAAAGTCCCACATCTTGGAAAAATGACTTTTCCAAAGGGTCATGCTTCCTTCTTTTCTCTGCTTTTGGGTGAGAGCATCTTACACCTGTGATGGGATACTGGAGGCCCCTGGTCAGAGCCATCTGGCATCTGCCTGTCACTCCTACATGGGATTTTTCTCTTCCCTGTATCAGATTTGTAGTCATCTCCACCTAACCTGGAGCCCAATCCAGGGAAGGGGCCAGCACTACCCACTCGTACCAGTGGGCTGCTGCGCACAATACAATGGTCCAGGGGTTGAGCCCACGTCCAAACTCTTCTGCCCCAAAACACAACCCAAGTCCCCTCCACCCCTGCTTTCCAGGGGCACAGAACAGGTTACCAGCACCTGCAGGAGAGATGGTGCCATGCCCAAGGACCTGTCCCACCTCGAGCCCTACCCCAGCGCAAGCAGAAAGAGGATGCTACCATGGTTTTTCCGGAGCTGTTCCCAGCGCTATATATTTCTTTGGGCAGATATCCATCCTTTTGATCCAGTTTAGACCCCCAGCAAAGCTCAAAATCCTGCAGCAAATATTTGCAGAGCAGCAGGTTCAGGCCAGGCAGCAGCGACCGTCCCCAGGCAGCGCGGCGAGGCACTGGCACAGCGTGGGAGGGAAGCAAAGCGTTGGCAGCAGGAAATCTCACATTTCCTCGTCCTCACCTCGCTATTTTTTTTTTTCACCCCTGAAGAAAGTTCCCCGTTTGCCAGGCCCAGTTCCTGTTCCTATTAGGAAAGCTATTTTCAGCTGTAGTCTGCATCCGTTGCCAGGCAACCGTGCCGGCTCCACGGACTTTGCTGGATCAGGCTCCTTCGGAGAAGCCGCTTGAATTATTCTTTCAAGCCCGATCCAGCAACGTTTAATTTCCTAACAGCGGCCCATTCACATAAACAGCTCGCGGCTCGACAGCAGCAATTACCAGCAAGCGGCTGGCCGCGGGCGGGGGGCGCTCGCGGCTGGAGGGAGCAGGACACGGAGGCGAGCAAAGATCCCGATCCAGCAACCAGGAAATTGCTGGGGTTGCCTTCAGTTTTGGATCAGGCACAGGATGAACGCAGACCTTGAATTTGGGTGCTCCGTTGAAACGCCTGCAGCTCAGCAAACACTGAAGCTCTTTCTGAGGGTGACTCAGACCTTCAGGAGGACTCGGCCGTGGTGCCAACGTCTCTCCTCTCGTTAGGGATAGAGCTAAAGGGAATTCGGGTCTGCTGGCCAAGCCACCAGACCTCAGCGCCCCACGACATGGGACGCTGACCTGCTCACGTAGGAGCCCTGCGGGGGACGCTGGAGCCAGCAAGAGTCCCAAAGGATTTGGGGGAGCACAAGAAGAGCTCGACTGCTCTCCTAGGCCTACGGTTCCCACGGCATTGGAGTGAGATGACACTGGAGGAAGAGGGTGAATGAGCCGAGAGACAAGCTTCCTCCCCATGGGAGAGTCCTCCTCCCTCCTCACAGGACACGGGTCCAGACTGAAGCAGAGCAGGGAAAAACCACAGAAGGGTCATCAGTGCATCAGTCCCAAGGCCTAATCCCCCCCAGGCAAATTGGAAAGTGCACTCCAAATCTATCTGAGAAAGGTATTTCCATCCATTTTTTTGATTGAAAGGGAATTCAATCAAAAATTGCTCTGCCAAAGATAATAATGACCCTGAGAGAAAGACTAGTCAGATCAGCTGACAACCAGGAGCTTTTCAGAGCTGGATAGAGAGAACAAACCCTTGTCACTGACAGATGGAGATTTGGCTCGTTTACTCAGCCCCCCATGACCTTAATTTTCTTAAATGTGCATTTTTCTCTCTCTTTAGAGGAAAGATTAGACCCTTTCAGAGCCCGTGCCCTGTAATAACCTCACTTCAGCTCCTGGGAGGGAGGTGTCTTCATGCCACCACACTTCCCAGGTAAAACCCACGCTGACGCTGCTTTCTCGGGTGCTCAGGTCCTTCCCCCGGCGCAGCCACCCTCTCTCCCATGGGGTCAGTGCCAGCATCCCTAGAGACGCCTCCAGAGAGCATCTCCCAACATGCTGCCAGGTGTTACAGGGGAGATGCTGGCAAAACCATCACTGGCTTCTCCCTAGGGATAAGTTATCGCCTCCATCTCCCACTGCTTAGCTTCCCTAGGCATTTCCTTAAATAAGATTCCCACTTTAACAGTCCCCTTGGGCTGCCTCGGTAATTGGTCTGCTTGGCCTCTAGGCAAAGCGACCGTGGTCCCCTAAGCCCTGCTCCTCTGCAGGACTCGCAGGCAGGCTCCCATTTGCACCAAGTGACAAGCCCCCAGTGCCCCCATGCCCAGCTGATGGGGTGGCCTCCGAGCCGTGTACCCTGCCTCGGCCCATCCTTGCTTTCTTAGGAAGGTGGCTGGGGAGCAATAAAGGCTGGAAATGTGTCAGCAAAGCTTTCAGCTAGGTCTGGGCCTGGTAGCGCAGATGCAGGCTGAGAGGAGACGTGGATTTCCAGCAGCCCCTAGAGAGGGCAGCCACTGGGAGCAGATTCAAACTCTGGGCCCGGAGGATAAGCACAGCAGGAGCTTTCTCCTCACCCAGGGACAGAGCAGCTCCCATGTCCAAATGCTACGTTTATACCCCGTTTGGATCCACTTTGGAGAAACTAAGGTGGGGGGGGGGGGGAAAGGAGATGGAATTTGGTGAATTCAGAATAACATATAAATCACGGGGCCTCTCTGCTGGTCCCTTCCCCAAGCAGTTCTCTCCGGCAGCCTTTCTGGGATGATCTCAAAGCATAGATACGCAGGGCCGACAATGTTCCCAAAGGGGTTTTCCTTTGCTCCCCACAAAGCCAGGATTCAGAGGCAATAAACGACTGATGGGCTCCCTCCCGACACGGCACAGAGGGAAACCTGAGGCCCCAGAAAGGAGAGGACTTGCCCAAGGTCACAGAGCAAGGAAAGGGAAGGGCAAGGAGTTCAGAGCCACAGAGGGCTTTCAAGAGGAGAAAGGCCACTGTTTGGCTTGGGCTGGGGGAGCTGAGCATCAGCTCGCAGTTACCTCCGCAGGAGATCTCGCAGCCAGGGCAGGGCTGTTCGGTGCAGATGGGGAAAGCAAAATGCAGAGAGAAAGGGACGGATGCAAGGTCATCTGGGAAGTCGGTGGGAGAACCTGGGAAAGGAGAGGCGGAGGGAAGGAGGCAGGCGTCTCCCATCTTCCCCCTCTGCACTGCAAAGCCAAGCAGCAAAGGGGAAGAGCCCTCGATGCACATCTCACCTTAGACACCAAATCATGAGAAAATCAGCTCCTGGCCCTGTGCCGTTCCCCCACAGTCAAGGACTAGCTCCTTTCTGAGCGCAGGGCTGCAAGAAGGACTGCGTTTGCAGACCAGATCCTTTGCAAGGTATCACATCGAGGAAATTCAGAGCCCCGCAGCAGCATACTCCTACAAGCAGCAAGAAATCAAGGGAGACACCCTCCAAGAAGCATCCAAATTACACCTCAAAGCCCCCAGAAGAGACTTTTGCCCCTCTCAGAAACATTTCAGCTCTGATCTCCCCCAGTCCTGCTCCTCGGGCCTTCCTGCAGCCTCCTTCATGCAACCTCCCCTTGCACGAAGAAAGGCTGGCCCGAGACGCGTCCATTTTAAAAGCTATTGAGAGCTGAGGCCTGCTTACAAACTGAGAGACTCAGAGCTCCAGATCTGATCTTCCT